CATCCTCCACATAAACTCTCAAACATTTGTGTGAATCATAATGGCCTTGATCTTAAAATGATTACGTTTTCAGTAAATAAATGTAGGACTTAATTTTATATTAATAAAACTGTACTCTTAATTGTATTACATATTAATGTACATATAAGATTTTATTTGAAAAGAATTCTACAGTCAAAAAGTTTGAAAACCACTATATTATGGAGTAGTTCACTTAAACTTAAAGCAAAGTATGTGTTTTTAAGTTTCTCTACATTCCAGGTTTCTATTCTATTCTATTCTATTCTTATTCTAGTCATTGAAAAGAATAGTGTTTAAAGTTCTATTAATACTTAATGTCTAAGATAGATATTTTTCTTTTTCTTTTATTCTTCAGTGAATTGTTTTATATGTACAGGATTTTTTCCTGAGTATATGTGTTTAAGCTTTACCTTATAATCCAAGTCCTCAAAACAGTTGAAGACCACACAATGTTTGCCTAAGGACTGGAAAGGAAAAATATTATTTTAACATATTTCTTGAATTATGACATAAAATACTAATATTAAAACTGTCACGGTATTAAAATGTCTTTGTTATTTTGACAATACTTTTACACTATAAAGATGAATTAGATACCAAATTTAGAGATTTATAAAACTCCATATAGTATCATGTAAATTTCATATACTGTTTATATAGCTTAGTCAATAGGTTCCTAGAATGCAAAGGTCACATTTTTGCACAAATCTACAAATAAGAACTAGGAAAAATATCCAAATGTTGCAAACTATACACTTTGCTTATATCAGTTACTACTACTACTACTTCTCTTTCTCACACACACTGATATTAATCATTTACATGTCAGTCAGTATAGTAGTATTTCAAAGCATATATTGGCTTACTGAGATCTCAAGTCCCAGCATACAATAGACATTCAAAACTTAATTGATGAATTGTATTAATTAATTAATGTGCATGTTTGTAGAAAAAATGCTTAACAATAATTAACTAAACAGTAAGTGTGTATCAATTTCCATTCAAATTATATAAAGGCATTCAACAAATACTTGACAGAATAGGTGCCTTTTGCAGGCAATTGAAAGAACATCTTAACAGCAAGAATGCTATAAATTTAAAATATCATCAAAGTTTGTAAAACAGGAAAACAAAAAGCACTTTTTGTTCTAGATATAGAAGGCACTTACTCTTGCTAGATCTTTGACAGTCTCAGTTTTTCCTGTCCCAGCTGGACCAGCAGGGCAGCCTCCTAGATTGAAATGTAGTGCTCCTGTAAGAGTCAGCCAGCATCGGTCTGTGAGAGGCGTAATAACCAACCTTGCGGTACAACCCAAGTACTCATAGCCGTAAGTAAAACTGGCATCTCCTTGTGAAACGTAACACAATTTGTGTTTTTCATTCCACTTATATTGCAAATGTCTGCAAACAATATCATAAATGCTTCTATTATTTGGTGAAATTATTTTTATTTTTTTCACATGCAGAAACAAATGACTAAAAAATAGAAATGCAAAACTTAAAATCAAGTAGGAAGAGTAATTTAAAATTCATCAATGATTGTACTAAATATGAAATATTAGAATTCAGAAGACTACAAACAATGAGAATGCTTCCCTCTGAGGCAAATGACCTTGAATCATGCTGCTTTGGTGTGATGTCAGCTTAAATGGAGGATTCATATAAAAATCACATCTATGAAGTTTATTTCAATTTTCAGTAAGAATATTATCGAAGACAATGTTCATCTGTCCAACGATCTGGATCTTTATTATGAGGATACTTGAGAGAAATGCTATTTGTTTTATGTATCAAAATATTTGAATCTTCTCTGTCACAACCCCTCGGGCCCCTATGGACCTGGTCTCCATCACCACAGGAAGGAACCAGGTGTGACGTGGATTAGAAGTACAAGCTTGTAGGAAGCAGACTAGCTCCTCTTCGCAGGGTAGCCCCGAGCAACCTCTGCACTAGCCTTTTATTGAGATCATACAACACAGGTGAGGGGAGTAAGTAACAAATGACTACGTGCTGAAGGCTCAGGCTCTTGTTCTACAAGGAACACCTTGGGACGAATGGCCCAAGGGTCCACCCACCCCCCTAGGAAATATATATGCATATATATACTAAGAAATATAATGTATATGCATATATATTAGGAAAAATATTTTTTATATTTACACACATATATACATATAGCATGTATACGTGTGTATGTATATACATAGATTCTACTACTGTTTTTTTAAATGACATTTTTTGTTTCCTTTTTTTGTTCGAGATTCATTGAGAGTACAAAGAACCAGGTTATACTGGTTGCAGTTGTTATATAAAGTCCCTCTTGTAATTGTGTCCCACCCCCAAGAGGTGTGCCATAAACCATAACCCCCCGCCCTACCCCCATCCCGATCCCTCATTCCCTTGCCTACCCCCCAGATCTATTATCATCTAGATTAATAGATGATCTAATAATAGATCAATTGTGTTGCACCCCCAAGAGGTGTGCCATAAACCGTAGCCTCCCATCCTACCACCTACCCCTGATTCCTTATTCCCATGCCTACCCCCCAGATCTCTTATCATCTAGATTAATAGATGGCCTAATAATAGATAATATTAAATCATCTATTGCCTTCATATTAGAATTGAGTACATTGGATTCTTGCTTCTCCATTCTTGTGATGCTTTACTAAGGAGAATGTGTCCCACCTCTATCCAAGTTAATTCAAAAGATGTAAAGTCTTTTGCATAGCTAAGGACACAAGTAAAGCTAAAAGACAACCTTCAGAATGAGAAAAGATATTTGCAGGGTATCAATCTGACAAAGGGTTGATAACTAGAATCTACAGAGAAGTCAAATCAATCAACAGAAAAAAAGTAAACAATCCCATCTCCTCTGGCCAAGAGATATGAACAGAACCTTCTCTGATGAAGATAAATGAATGGCTAACAAACACTTGAAAAAATACTCATTGTCCCTGATCACCAGAGAAATGCAAATCAAAACCACCCTGAGCTATCACCTAACCTCAGTGAGAATGGCCCGCATCACAAAGACTCAAAGCTGCAGATGCTGGGGTGGATGTGGAGAGAAAGGAACATTTTTACACTACTGGTGGGACTGCAAACTAATACAACCTTTTTTGAAGGAAGTAGGGAGAAACCTCAAAGAACTCAAATTAGACCTCACATTTGGTCCTGCAATCCCATTACTGGGCATCTACCCAGAAGAAAAAAAATCATTTTATCATAAGGACATTTGCACTAGACTGTTTATCACAGTTCAATCCACAATTGCCAAAAAGTGGAAACAGCCTAAATGCCCTCCATCCAAGGAATGGATTAACAAAGTGTGGTATATGTATACCATGGAATACTATTCAGTCATTAAAAAGATGGAGACCACATTCTACTGTTTATTTTTATTTTTTAAAAGAGCTAATAAATAATAATGAAATGCTAGATTTTATGCAGAGTAATGGTTCATAAACAAGCTACAGTCTCTTTGGTAATTAAGAGAGTATCCTTTGGGTTGTCTATCCATTTGTTGACTATTTCCTTAGCTTTCCAGAAGATTTTTAGTTTGATGTAATCACACTGTCTATTTTGCTTGGTTGCCTATTCTTTTTTTTTTTTTTTTGTAGAGACAGAGTATCACTCTATCACCCTTAGTAGAGTGCAGTGGCATCACAGCTCTCAGTAACTTCCAACTCCTGGGCCAAGGCGATTCTCTTGCCTCAGCCTCTTGTACAGGTGCCCGCCACAATGCCTGCCTATTTTTTTGTTGCAGTTTGGTTGGAGCCGGGTTTGAACCTGCCATCCTTGGTATATGTGGCCGGTGCCCTACCCACTGAGCCACAGGCGCCACCCTGGTTGCCTATTCTTTTGTGATTCTACTCAAAAGGATTTTGGCCAGACAAACTTAATTCAAGTCTTCTATCAAATTGATTTGATTTTTGAGTATGGTGAGAGATAGGAGTCTAGTTTCATTCTTCTGAAAATGTTAATAGTTATTAAGTTTCCCCCAGCACCATTTATTGAAAAGACAGTCTTTTCTTCATTGTAAGTTCTTGGTGTCTTTGTTGAAGATGAATCAATTGTGAATGTGTGGGTTTATATCTGGATTCTCTAATCTGTTCTGTTGGTCCATATATCTGTTTTGTGCTAGTATCATGTGGTTTTGGTTTCTATAGCTTTGTAATAGATTTTGAAGTGAGATAGTGTGGTGTCTCTAGCTTTGTTCTTTTTGATCAGGATTGTTTTGGTTATTGGAGTCTTTTGTGGTTCCATATAAATTGTGTTTTTTTTTTCTATTTCTGTGAACAATTTTGATAAGGATTGCACTGAATTTCTAAATTGCTTTGGGTAGTATTGTAATTTTAACAAATTGTTCTTTCAATTGATAAACATAGAATATTTTTCCATTTCTTAAAATGTCCTCTTCTCATTCTTTCTTCAGAAGGAAATTTATAGTTTTCCTTGTATAGAACTTTCACTTCTTTGGTTAGACCAATTCCTAGGTATTTTATACATTTTTTAGCTATTGTAAATGAGGCTGTTTCCTTGATTTATTTTTCAGATCACTTAATGTTGGCATCCATAAATGCTACTGATTTTTGTAAGCTGATTTTGCATCCTGTGACTTTATTGAATTAGTTTATAAGTTCTAACAGTTTTATGGTTGGAGTCCTTAGGTTTTTCTAGGTGTTCATGTCATCTGTGAAAAAGACTAATTCAACTGGTTCCTTTCTGATTCAGATGCCTTTTTATTTCTTTCTATTGCCTAATTGCTCTGATCAGAAATCCCTAGGGTTTAAAGGAAACTGTCATACCTACAACAAATTTATGCTAACTACAGAATTTCTTAAAAATTAACTTTTCTTGAGATATAGGCAAGACACCTGTTTTTCTACGAACAAAGAAAAACTTAAAAAAAATTATTCGAAAGTTTGAAATGCCACATTTATTACAGGAATCATACTCTTGATCTTCTCACCAAAGGTAGTAGCTTTTTATTTTCATATTTTACTAATTGACTCTGGGAGAAGGAAGGTAATTTGGAGTTAAGGAGTTGGTAGGAAATGTTCTCCAATTTGTTTCTCCATCCTAGTCTATTCCAGAATTGACAGCACAGGAGAAAGAAGAGGCCTGAAGTAGAGTTATCAATACCCATGAACAAGTATTGTCCTCTGTCTGAATGCCAAAATGCAACTACTTGAAGAGAATTAATTAGGTTAAGAAGATAGAAGTTAAAATGACAGGGAGGAAAAAAGAGAAAGAAGGAAAAATAGGAATATGGTATAGTAGTCCCCTCTTATCTGTGGAGGGCACATTTCAAGACCCCTGGTGGATGCCTGAAATTGCATATACAGTAGAACTGCCACTGCCAGAGCTGACCACTGCCCTATACTGACTACCTCCATAAGTTGGTCTAATTTTCATAGACTAGACATGAACCACATTTATGTCAACCAGTTTGTTATAGCCCTTTGCATGGTCAACTTACAGAAGTTCTACTGTAGTTCCAAACCCTATATATACTGTACTATGTTTTTTCCTATACAAACATACCTATGTTAAAGTTTAATTTAGGCACAGAGATTAACTGCAATGACTGATAATAAAATACAATAGTTATGATAATATATTATAATAAATGTTATGCAAATGTGTTTTTTCTTTCAAAATGTCTTGTTGTACTGTACTTACCTTTTTTTAGACTATTGTTGACTGTGGGTAACTGAAACCATGGAAAGCAAAACCACAGAAAAGGGGAGACTACTATACTCAAATTCCAGTTTGATTAGAATTTCAGTAAGTCCCTCAAAATTAAAATGCTAGTTTGACAAAGGTTGAGGATGAAGAATAAATTTACTTAAAAATATGTTTATAAGACATTACTGCATGTAGTTATAATTTAGATTTACCTACCTTGTCCATTCAAAATCCTCTGAATTGAAGATATTTTTAAGTAGTAAATTTATTGCTATATCTCTGCAATAAACATAAAGGGTAAGCAATGCCCCTAGTACAATTTTTGTTCGAGAGTTACTAGTATCCAACACTACCAGCTCTGCAATTTCTTCTAGATGACATATCACATCAGCACAGACTTTTTCCATCTCTTCTCTTGAATGAGAACTCCTAAAACTTTTAAGACAATCATTATAAAACATGATCTGGCTCTGAAAAGATAAGAGATAGGAATGATAATTGAAACATAGATTTTATTTTAAATTAAAACAGATATTTTCATGAAGTATATGTGGCATATGTGTGAGTGCATTTATGTGTGTACAAAAGAGTTTATACATTTAAACATATTTGAGGGTTAAAGATTGAACTTTAAATAATGTTTATGGGAACCTTATTAATTTGTACTTTCTAATTCTTGTGTTCTTAATCCATCATCACTAAGTAAGAATGTGGAGACAGTAACAATGGTTGAAAAATCCAGAAGAAATTAGTTCTGCTCTTTCTATTGAACTCAGAATACAGAGTGTCCTGTATTAATCTTCACACAAACCTTATGGACACCCTGTATACCAAGAATACATTAAGTCTGCAATCATAGTTTTAGAGCTTATAAAAATTGTTATTTGAGTCATCTTTTTAAACTCACTCTTCCCACATATACCAGAGCTATTTTAAGAATGCTAGATTAAAATCAAGTTGACTCTGGAAGTTAAAAGAGGGGGAAATGTCAAGATATGTTATAGGTTTCTGGCTTGCACAATTGGGTAAGTTGTGATTCCAGTCACTCACTAAGATAGTAACTATTGAAAGAAGAATATGTTGTGGCTAAGGGGGGGATATACTGAATTGAAGTGCCTAAGAAACACAGTAGAGTAATAAGGATACACATATGGGAGTAATTTATTTTTTATTTTTTATTAAATTATAGCTGTGTATATTAATGCAATCATGGGGTACAGTGTGGTGTTTTCATATACATTTTGAAATACTCTTATCAAACTGGTTAACGTAGCCTTCATGTCGTTTTCTTAGTTATTGAGTTAAGACATTCATACTCTGCTTTTAGAAAGATTCACTTGTACCCTTGTAGGATAAACCATAGGGGTGACCCCACCAATCACCCTCCCTCCTCTCATCCACGCCCCTCCTCTCCCCTCTCCCACCTCCCTTCCCATATTCTAAGGCTATAATTAGGTTATAACATTCCTATGAAAGCTATAAATTAGTTTCAAAATGGGGCTGTGTACATTGGATACTTTTTCTTCCATTCTTAAGATACTTTGCAAAGAAGAACATTTTCCAGTACTATCCATGTAAGCATGAAGGAGGCAAAGTCTCTATCTTTCTAGTGATCAAAACAGCATGGTACTGGCACAAAAACAGAGAGGTAGATGTATGGAACAGAATAGAGAGCCAAGAGATGAATCCAGCTACCTACTGTTATCTGATCTTTGTAAGCCAATTAAAAACATTGAGTGGGGAAAAGATTCCCTATTTATTAACAAACGGTGCTGGGTTAACTGGATGGTGACCTGTAGAAGACTGAAACTAGACCCACACCTTTCACCATTAACTAAGATAGACTCTCACTGGATTAAAGATTTAAACTTAAGACATGAAACTATAAAAATACTAGAAGAAAGTGTAGG